AGAGGCGTCCCCAATCCAATAAAGTAGCTGCTAACTGTTTTGGAGTCCAATTTCTTTTCATTTGGCCTATAAGGCCTTGCCTCAGCTGGACATCCCCAAATATGTAAATGCTTTAAACTGGGCTTTCGACCAGTCCAAAGCTCATAAGGTGTTTTAGCAACTGCTTTACTTGGTACTCTATTCAGAATGTAAGCTGCTGTCTTAAGTGCTTCTCCCCAGAGTGACTCTGGTAAAGAAGAATGAGCAATCATACTTCTTACCATATCCTTAAGAGTCCTATTTCGTCTTTCAGCTACACCATTCATGCTAGGTGAACCCGGCATGGTGTACTGTGGGACGATACCGCATTCCTCTAGGTATCTAGCAAATGGTCCTGGACGTTGTTCACCTGAACCATCATATCTACCGTAGTACTCACCACCACGATCAGATCTGACGGTTTTAATTCTTCTGTTGAGTTGATTCTCAACTTCAGCTTTATAGGCTTTGAACATGTCCAGAGACTCAGATTTTTCATGAATAAGATATAGGTGCCCATAACGTGAGTAATCGTCTATGAATGATATAAAATATTGTTGACCATTCCAGGATTCCGTAGGGAATGGCCCACAAATATCCGTATGTATCAATTCTAAGACATCCGAAGATCTGTTGGCACCTAATCTTTTCACTTTGGTCTGTTTTCCCTTGATACATTCAACACATACGTCGAAGTCCGAAAAATCAAGGGAATCCAAAATGCCATCAGACACAAGACGCTCAATTCTACCTTTTGAGATATGACCTAAGCGCTTATGCCATAATGTCGCCGAATTTTCCTTATTTAATTTACGCTTAGTACCACGTGATTCCACATGCAAGGATTCATTGTAAGAAGCAATTGTATCAAGCAAATATAGGTTTTCATAAATACTCAAATAACTGGTTCCCACAACATTTGAATTAAAAGATAAACTGAATTGATTGTTTCCAAATAAACAAGAATAACCTGATTTGTCCAATACAGAAACTGAAATCAAATTCCGTCTAAAAGATGGTACTACAAAAGTATCTTTTAAGTCCAAATAAGAACCAGTTCCTAACAACAACCTAAAGTGCCTAATTACTTCCACATCTACCGATTGTCCGTTGCCCACAAAGATGTGTCTTTCAACATCACTTGGCTTTCGGTAGCTCAGGCAACCCTGCATAGAAACACTTATGTGAGTAGTAGCACCAGAGTCTAACCACCAAGTGTTTCTAGGTACTGAAGCTAAATTAACCTCAGAACAGACCAAAGCAAGGAACGTACCCTTATTATCACGCCAGGCGTGATATTTTGTACAGTCCTTCTTTACATGTCCAGGCTTCTTACAGAAGAAACAACCCTGATTATCCTTATGTTGTTTCTTCTCAACTGGACCCTTAGCAGCTTCCTTATCATTCTTCCTTTTCTTGCTCTTATCCTTAGAGGCATAGGCCAAATGAGCACTTTCTGTCTTATCTTGCTTCAACCTGTCTTCTTCTTGCACACAGTATGAAATGAGCTCATTTAGAGTCCATTTTTCCTTTTGACAGTTATAAATGACCTTAAATTGATTAAATTGTGCAGGAAGAGACAACAGAATCAGATGCACTAATAACTCATCACAAAGATCGAGTTTAAGTGCCTTAAGTTTTGAAGCAATATGAGACATTTCTATAATATACTCCCTGATGTTTCACTTGCCCTTATACTTCATCGAAATCAAGCGAGCTAAAAGCGTGCTTGTTTCTACCTTATCATTTTTAGCAAAACGTTTCTTAATTTCGGCAAGGAAATCTTTAGCCTTAGTAATCCCTTCGGATTCTATGCCCCTGAAGGCTTCCAGAACGCCGCGCTTAATGATCATAAGACTCATGCGATTTGAACGCTCCCACTTCTCATGCTCCTTCTTTGTATCAGGAGTGCTTTCCGCATTGAGAGGTTGGGGTTGTTCAGTTCTTAATGCATAGTCAAGATCCATGCAGCCAAGAACAATTAATATGTTCTCTTTCCAAACCTTGAAGTTTGTCCCATTTAGCATGGGAATTGAGTTGATGTTAGCAGAAATTGTTGCAGCAGATGCATTAGCTGAAATAAAACAAAAGAATGCTCACATCAATAACCATAATCAATAAAATTCAAATAATGACAATCCCCATCCAAGATACCGGCACAACATTAATATCAAGTCTTTGGACAGTAATATTAACTTGTAAGTGATACCTTGTTGCAATGATCAAACATTGACAATAACTCATGTCAAATAATGAAACTATCTTTGGATCGATTCATTATTCACATGTAAACCTTATAATTGTCACACGCTTATCATCGCAGATGTGTATACAGTCTAAATAAATATTAACCTTCCTTTGGGCCGATTAAATATTTACACGAAAGCATACACACAAACATCTCACATTCCTCATGAACAATCTACACAAGAGAGGTTACTTTGGCAACTTCTTGTTTCAATTAATCAATTGGAGTGAGAGACAACCTTAATTCCTTAATGTCATATTATTTGAATTAAATAATTGATTAAAAAACCAAATTAGATTTAAATTAAAACTTTTTTAATTTAAATCAACTGAATTTCCAAAAACTTAATTGGGGTCTCACAACTTAATTAGGGCCCATAACTTAATTGAATAAATTAAGTATACCAAAGTGGATCCATGAAAAACTGAGGCTTAACCATAGTGAACACGAAGTTCGCTTAACTTCGAACGCGAGGTTCGACTGTATTGAGTACGAGACTCACTTAAGCACGAACGCGAGGTTCGTTTGAGAACGAACGCGAGGTTCATTAAAAAAATGAACGCAATGTTCAACTTAAGTATGAACGCGAGGTTCGACTGAAGCACGAACGCGAGGTTCGTCAAAATTTGAGCTTGACGCTCACCTGAGTTGAACGCGAGGTTCACTTTAGAACGAACGCGAGGTTCGTTAAAATTGAGCTTGACGCTCACCTGAGTTGAACGCGAGGTTCACCTTAGAACGAACGCGAGGTTCGTTAAAATTGAGCTTGACACTCACCTGAGTTGAACGCGAGGTTCACCTTAGAACGAACGCGAGGTTCGTTAAAATTGAGTTTGACGCTCACTTGAGTTGAACGCGAGGTTCACCTTAGAACGAACGCGAGGTTCGTTTGAAGCTTTCAGCTTCGGCAAAATTTGAGGTAACCACCTCCTTAATATTCGGCACGTTTCACGCACGAACCCTTAGGGTTTCAAACCGAAACTGCCGCCGACAAACCAAAAAAAAAATTCCTCGATTTTATTTTTCAAAATCAGATCCAGACCAAGAAAAATCGAAGAAAAATCCAAAAATTCTAAAAAGTTACTGTTCACCTACGATTTTTCAGTTACTGTTCATCCGGAAACCTTTTCGTTACTGTTCATCCGAACAAAAAAATTACTGCTCATCCGAAAAACCAAAACTGAATCTTTAACCAAAGATTTAAGATAAAAAAACCTAATAAAACTTAAATCCCTAAGAATTAATCAAGGAGGCTCTGATACCACTTGTTAGATCTAAATCAAAACTTGAGATCTAAAAAACCATATAGTCATGATTAATTCGAAGAGATTAACAAGAATCTAAAAGGGCGGAAGCTTATACCTGAATCCATAGAAGAAATCTTGATTTGGGTTTCTGATCTTCTAACCTTAGGGTTTCTCTAAATCCGAATTTCTCTCTCTAGATGGGGGTGAAGAGAATTAGAGAGTGTAACCCTAGGTTAGGGACCATAACCCTTTATTTATAGATGTTGTACTTTTGTAATTTAGCCCCTCAATAAATCACAATTACAACCTGATATCTGCACATATAACCCCATGATTATATTTAAATACTCATTAACCCAACTTAATTGATCACTTTAGTGGGTTATCCTGAAAGATAGCAATACACATTGATTAATCATATGTGCCCACAAATAGATTTATTAGATTAAATCCAACAACAATACATATGAAAATTAGCAAGAATTTTATTTCTTTGATTGTATCTGTGGGGTTGGCTGTATAATTCCTAGTCTAATTCCTACCCTTAATACTCCATTTATTTCCCTTATTGAGGATTAACACCCAAACGGATGTTCTAACGGAGTATAGTGATTTGAGTCAAAAGCTAAACAATGGCCTAGGAAGCAAAATTATTTTCTTGGAGAATGTCAAAGGAAGCGGAATTCTTACGTGGCATCATTTTTTCCACTTTAACGGAGTATTTTTGCTCTTCAGAACCTTTTTTTTTTCCTTCTAATTTTATAAATCAAATCTCTTTATGATGTGAATTAATATTAGCAAACATAAGACGTTTTTTACCGACCCGCTTACACGAGTGAGTCGACTGCACACGTGTCCTAGAGAGCTTACGATGCCACCTGTTTGGTTTAGTGGGACCCGTGTCTGCTTGGCAAATTCGACCTTTGCTTCTGAGTTCTGACCTTCCCATTAAAACAAAGAAGTTAGGCACCCCACCTCACTTCGTTTATTTAAAAAAATGTAATTAAAATTTTTAAAAAATCAATTTTCCACTAGATTAATAAAAGGCTATATTATTAGATTGGTATTTTTAGTTATTTTCTCCGGAAATATTAAGATGTTAATACTGAATTTATGTTCAATGCTTGTCATCGAAGAAAAATTCGACCCAAAAAAAATCGAGTAACCATCACACGGTTTAAACTTTAAAAAAAAAATTTAAACATATAAATTTCATACACATCTTACAAATTTTATCACCGTCTGTCTGTGTCATATAATTAAGAAACTGCGACATGATTTTTTCACGTGACACTTTCACGCCAGATTCTTTTTCGGTGATTAACATCCGTGCATTGTGCAAGCAGAAATTTAGCATTAATACCTTAATATTGTCAGGGGAAAAAAATTATATCAAAGAAGCCAGCGGTTGGGTGCAGGACTAAATATTTGAAAAATTTTGGGTTTATAAATAAAAAAAACCCATCATAATATCAATCTCAATCTCCACCCGAATTCAATTCAATCAAGCAATTCAATCAAGCAAGCAGAAGCCAGCGGTGTTGGAAAAAACTCAACTTTTCTCCTCTTTTTGAAAAGTTCCGATTTTTGGGCACCATCTGGACTCTCTTGCTCACTCTGAATCCCTCTCGGTTCCAGCTTGCTCAATTCTACTGCTCATTCTCATCAAATTCTGCAAATTTTCGCTTTTTATTCGATTTTTTTTAGGTTAATTTCGTGCCAGCGTCGAGTTTCTAGGGCTTTGGAAACGAAATGAGATTTGGCTTCGGTGTAATTCTCTCACTTCAGCTGTTTTGATTTTAAGTTCTTTTATGTTTGTATATTGACTCTTGATTCGAATGCGTATGTTATCTTGCGCTGAGCAGCTTGTTTGTAATTGGATTTTATGAATATTTTAGCTCGATTGTTACTGCATATTAGCTTAAGTTCGAGTGAATTTTGAAAATATGCAGCCTGACTACTGCAATCCAAATAAACAAAATTATCTTAATTTTTTGTCGTGTTGTCTTTTGATCTGATAAGCACTTTTGAAAAGATAAAAGCTATCACCTCCTACAACTCAATCTAGTTGTAAATAAGAAATGGGTTTGTGAATTTTTAACTACAACCCGTGAGCAACCACCCACCTTTTTGTTAGTTGGCATTTATTTCATCTCTCTCCTTCAACATGAGGAAATTTCCCCTCATTTTCTTTGCTTCACAAGATTCACTGGTGCTCTGAAACTTCTTGCATATTGGAAGGAAACCCACCACTTTACTGTACTTTCTTTTCTTGGTTATCACTTTCTAGAGCTCTGATACACTTTTAGGGAGGAGTATTTTCATGGTAATTAGAGTTTTTTTTTTATTTTTTTGCGTCACTATGATTATCGTCTTTGCTTAAACATGATGAAATTGTTATGGTAGTGATGAATATGCATCTTTTTAACTAAAGGCAATATGTCTAAGTTCTTATTAAATTTGTTGGATTCTCTAGAAAAACTTCGAATAATGGTTTATTTATTTTTTATGCAGGTAAAATTATATTAGTGTGGAAAAGTTCCGGGCAAGGGTATGGGGTGCTTAGTATCGACTTCAAGAGATACAGGTGGGTTCAGAAGAAGGCCTAGAAATGTTGGGGAATTGGCTGTTTTTGTGCCAGGGCTGCGAATCCCTAGAAGTGTGGATTTCTCTTTGTCATTGGGTAATAGTTTGTCAAAGAGTTTAATCGATCGTCTCTCATCTCTGAGGACTAGAATAGTTGTCATGGCCGCTCAAGAGGCACCAGTAGCAATAAAACCAAGGCGGAGAACAGCTACTCAACATGGTCAGTAGGTGTAGTGCCGAAGTATTAGTTATGTTCTATTTTATGTAACAAGGGGGAAATGATTGTTTTGATGCCTGCAGGAGGTTCAACATTAGCTGATCTTCTGCAAGCTCTTGAAGACTACTTACCAATTCTTTTGGGATTGGTTAAGGATGGTTAGTATAGCTATATTTCTTGTGCATTCTACCTTTGTTTAGTTTCAAATGTTGAGTTGGTGAGACATAATTTACAGGAAGTGAATTAACAAACAAGGTGCAGTTCGTTTGGGTCAACCAAGAGGATGATGCAGAGGTAGATATACATAATTATGACTATCTTGAGGGTGATTATAGAAATGTGTGTCTTTATGGGAAAGTGGGATGATGATTGGATTTCATGCATGCAGGAAACAGGCATATCAAATGCTTGGTACGAGGTGCTTTCAGTTCTACATTTGTTGGCTATGCTGTGTTTCTCTGACGCAAACTCATCGCTTCTTCCTAAACCATCAGCTGATGGTTATCAGCCAAAGGTACTTGAAGGTGAGTTTAGTAGACCCCATTTTTAAAACATTGCATTTTTGTTCCTTTTAAGCTACCTCATCTTTCATGATGCAACTCTGAAACATTGCAACATCCAATGTCATCATACATTTTGAGTCTTTTTGTCCTTTTGAAACCTGATGTGGACATAGCTAATTGTTGTTGTAATCGAAAGCTCTAAGACATTAGTCTGGGATGTAAGTTTACATTTTATTAAAAGTTTCATCTGACTTATACCTTTCTCAACCTTTTGGCTAGTATCAACTGTAATATTTGTCCGTATCAGTTTGAAACGACATCTGGATTGCTGCAGGATGTATTGTTGATGCATTATGTGGATACCTATTTGTTTTCTTCATGTACACATGGTGTATAATCCATGGGCTAATTGTATCGGTCTTAAAGGAGTGTGTCTATTGGTCTATCAGATAGTTAATTGTTCCCCTCTAATAATATAACTACTTCATACAATGTCAGCGTCCATTTCTACATCTATGATTTGTCCTTTCCTTGAGATTGTAATGTGTGTCATCTTGTTGTCTGACTCATCACAGCAAGCAGACGTGTTGCAGTTGATGCTTTATTAAAAGCAGCAGGATATCTGGATTGTGCAACTCGGCATGTTCTTCCACAAATCCCTCCTGCAATCAGGTTTGATATATATTGATCTTTTTTTCACATTCCCAGGTGCTTTTAGCAGTTTTATATATATGATCATCACTATATTGTGATGATCATGTTTGGTATTTCATTCATGTACGTGTGTGTGTGTGTGTGTCTATATATATATATATATATATATATATATA